ATGACTTTTTCATTTCAAGATCTCTTCAAGAAAGTGGCAGACTCTCTTGACATTTCCCTAGCTGAACTACCAGTGTCTCAGTATAAACTGACTGATATACTCCATGCACTCCATCAGCCAAGATTGCTTTTACCAATTAACGCAGAAGTCATGGGATCCATCAAAGGTGCTATAGCAGATCCCTACCACGATTACACCTTACTCTAATGGGTGTACAGAAAATATCTAGCAGCCAACAGTGTGGAATTTCTCTTCAACTGCTGAACATTTTAAAATGTTGGTCGAGGATTTGACACTTCTCTCATCGTCCCAATGTTATAAATCATACCATCTATTTGACCGCTGCCTGTTACCATACTACCCCACCTGGCAAAATATCACTGACAAATTTGTCCTAGAAATTAGACCTCAAAGGATACTCCATCCCTTTTACCTCTACCTCACCTCTTTAGTGGTGGAGATAGTACATCACAGAGGTAAGCAGGCACAATTTAAATCCACACCATACTAGGGATGTTAAAAATTGTGACTTTTAAGTCCCTGCAAGCACCAGCTCCTGTTTCTTCCTCTCCACTGCCTCTTTATTAGAGGTAGTAGTGTGGGAGGGCAGGTGGCATCACGGAGCCAGTGCTCAGCCAGCTTCTCCCAAGCACCAGTCCCATTTGCCCCCACTCCCCAGAAGCACAGATGGTCCCCCCCCCCCCCGTTGCCTCTGGTATAGAGGGAGCAAGGGGTGCGTAACCGTTAAGATTAACCGATAAGCCTGGGCTTATCAGTTAATCATGTAAACACCTACATACTAACATCCCTATACGATAAGGATTGAAAATGACTAGACATCTTTGGATGAAAATCCTATTAATCAGCCTCACTGCAATTTTGCATTGCCAATTACTCCACACTTTTGGCAAAACACCCCTACAACCTGTTCAATAAAATGAGGATCTTTATTGAACAATTGCCAAAGGACACATGCAACCAGTACAGGGGAAACATCACAGAGGGCTTGCTCATAGCAAAGACAATGTTGCAGGCGTCCCTCGACTCTACAGATATGGCCACATGATCCCTTACAATGGCTGTTGTGTGCTTCATCTCCTGGCTCCATCTCTCTGGCTTCCCTAATGAGGTACAAAACACAGGGACAGAAATTGTTTGCAGACCTCACTGATGCCTTGCTGCATGCACTGAAAGATTCTTACTACCCAAAAATGCTGGGCATGTATGCCCCACAACCTAGAAGAAAACGACACTTCTACACACATTTCCATCCTGAACCATATTTAGATGCAGTGCTCTCATGACCAGTGCCATTCTGGACCAGAAATAATTGACCAAGCCATCAACTTCATGGCTGTCATTTTAAAATGTTGGTTGAGGGTTTGACACCTCTCACATCGTCCCAATGTTATGAAGTGTACCATCTATTCTACCACCGCCTGTTACCGTCCTATCCCACCTGGCAAAATATCACTGACGGATGGGTCCTAGGAATAGTCCTCAAAAGATATGCCATCCCTTTTATTTCTACCCTACCTACCCATTGCCTTTCCTTTTCCCTTTTCAGGGATTCCTCGTATGAGACCCTGTTACAACTGGAGATAGCTTAGGTGTTACAACTAGGTTCAATAGAGGAAGTACCAGCTTAGCTCAGGGGAATGGTGTTCTATTCCCACTACTTTCTCACACCAAAAATAGTTGGTGATAGAGATCCATCCTCAATTTTTGCAGAGGGTATACTTAATGAATTTTGGTACATGGTCACAGGTCGGCTCCATCCCTGGAATGGGCAGAGCCTGAGGTGGAAGGTGCGGGGCTGGAGACTAGCCTCCTCCCCAGAGCTGTCTGGGGCAGAGGCTTTGAACTGGAAACACAGCAAACGGCTCCCAGCCCTGCTGCTACTGTGCTGCCTGGCACCTGCCAGGGATTGCTGCTGCTATTTAAAGGGCTTGCAGCTCTGGCCCCTGCTGGGGTAGTTCCATTACTGGAAGCCATGAGCCATTTAAATAGGATCCTGTTGTCAGAGCCAATACTTGGAAATTTGGTGGCATGGGCCGCAGGATATAAATAGGAAGCAGTCAGATGAAGTCTGCGGGTTGGATCAACGTGTTGGGCAGGCCAGATATGGCTCCCAGGCTGCATCTTGCTCAGCTCTGCCCTAACCTAACAGCTAAAGTGTATTGGAGCCCATCTTGTATACAAGCCAGGGCAAATTCCATGGGTAACAGCCAGATAATGCCTACTTGGACATCCCTGAAGTTTGGGGGCACACGCATCAGAATATATGATCCAGAATTGATGATCAACAGCAGAAACATTATTACATATATATATCCTAGGGCTTCAAACAGCGAGACAAGCATGCAGATCCTTTTCCTGTTACTTCACAAAATTGTCAAGGTCCTCAAGACAACATGGCGTGCATGTTCTACATAAACTGCTAGGGCGGAGCACGGTCCTATCTGCTATGCACAGAAGTCACATTCCTATGGCAATGGTGCATAATCAACCACACAAACATTTCAGCAGCATGCCTATCTAGGCAGCAAAATACAATTGCAGGCCATTTGAGCAGGCATTTCTGCCAAATTCATGAATAGGAACTGGATTCCCACGTGCTGAAAACCATATCCCAACATTAGGGATATCCAATGACAGATCTCTTGGTGACGGTTGTCCATTCGAAGTGTCCAAAATACTGCTCGCAAAAGGGACTGGGAAGTCACCCAGTTACTCTCTGGGGGATGCCTGAATGGGACTCACTGCTCCTTTATGCATGTCCTCCTATCCCACAAATCCGCCGAGTACCATACAAAATCAAACAAGACAAGGCAGGAGTTCTATTAATAGCACCCATGTGGCTTAGATAAATCTGGCTCCCCTACCTAACTCAGCTTTCAGTATTCCCCCTGTTATCTCTTCCACAAATTCCTTACTTTCTGACCCAGGATGCAGGGAGTCTCCTCCATTCGCGTGTCACAGTCCTCCAACTCTCAAGGCATGGCCTCTATATGGTTAACAAGGGCTTAGCTACATTGCTCTGAGAAGGTCAAAACAAGAACCGCAAACCCAGTATGAGCAAAGCATATGATCAGAAATGACACCGCTTCTGCAAGTTGATGTATAACCTAGTGCCTCTCACCTCATTTGGCTCCTCTGCCCAGAGTGTTGGACTACATCTTTAGCCTCAAACAACAAGGACTCGCTAACTGTTCCATTGTAGTACATCTAATGGCCAACTCCATGGGGCATGACAGAGTCGACAGATACCCTACATTTGCACACCCAGCAATTAAACAGTTCTTGAAAAGGTGAAAAAAAAGTCTTTCCACCAGCCCATGCTTATTTGGGACCTTAACATAGTGCTATGCATACTGACAGGCAAAGCATTTGAGCCTCTATCAACGCGTTCCTACTACAGCTCTTAATGAAAGTATCCATCCTTATCAGTATCCCTATCACTAGGAAAATAGTGGAACAAGCCACCATCATGGCAGACCCCCCACACCTCCATATTTCAAAAAGACAAAATCATTTTACAGTCACATCCAAAATTTCTCCCAAAAATAGTATCACCCTTTCACATGAATTGACCCATTTACTTACTGGTATGCTTCCCAAAACCTCAGGCAGATGCCAAACAGATCTCCCTCCGCACCCTGAATGTTTGTAGAGCACTAGCGCTTTATGTAGCGAGAACAAGGACGTTTAGGATATCATCCCATTTCTTCCTATCTACTACCAAGTGATTCAAAGGGGAAGCAATATCCAAACAGACTTTCCATGGGGATCTTACAGTGTATCCAGTTATGCTACAAACTGAACAACGTTCCAGTTTTCTGTACAGTTTGCGTGCACTCCACCGGAGCCATTTCTACATGATAGGTCTATCTTAAAAATGTTCCCATTACAGACATTTGCATAGTGGCTTCCTGGACCTCAGTTCACACACATTCTAAACACTACGCAATAGAACAATTTTCCTCAGCAGACACACTGTTTGAACAATCTGTATTGTTTATGGCCCAAAGATAGATCACGAAGCCTTTCCTTCCTCAACAAGATAATGCTCCATAATCCCCTAATGTGGAACACCCAAAGGGGGGCACTCCTAGAAGAAGAGATGTTTATTCACCAGGTACAGTAATTGAGCTTCCCTCTGGTTGTCCCTGTGGGTGCTCCACAACCCTCCCTCTTCCCCTCTGCTTCAGATCAACATAAGACTATCCAGGGTAAAGAAGGAACAAGAGGGATACGTAGTACCTATTTTGCGCTATCACCCAGGGTACTGCTGCAACAAATCTCTAACTTTAAGCATCAACACATATAATGTGGGGCACCCCCAGGGACAACCATCTCAAAGAACCTCAGTTACTACACCAAGTGAATAACCTTCTCTTATAAAGCTTAGAAAATACAAACTGAAAACCAACTCTGAGTTTGAATACAACATTTAGTGCATCTGCTTGTCAGCAGTGAGCTGTGGTGCTTTTGACTTCTTGAGTTGGTTGTTGAATTACAGTGCTTTTTGTTGTAAGAAGGTCTATACCCTTGAATATTATAGCTAAAACAATGGGAGAAAGAGGAATGAGGAGAAACATATGACAGACTAAATTGCATTCAGTGTTTGTCAAAGGGGCTACTAACATTCCTTTTTTCACTTCCAGACCTTTTCTGTTCAACACCCCTTTCTGAATGTGTTCCTGATTCAGTGGCTTTCATGTGATTTTGGTCACTCTATTGTAAGCTGGCTCCCTGCACGTACTGCTCCTGCTGCCCCACAGCAGCAGCAGCACTGGGAAGTAGGTAGCTCCCCAGAATTCAGACCAGGAGCTGATTATGGCTGTGTAGTGATTTGGGTAACTGATCATCCTTATTGGTTATCTGCTTACACAGCTGCACTCTTATATCCCTAGTGCACACTATACTGTTTCACCACAATTTTGTGCTGCTTTTTTTAGGAAACAGTTTTTCTAACTTTATGGTGCTTTCTCTTTCAGAACCGAGAGCTCCAGATCATGAGAAAGTTGGATCACTGTAATATTGTCCGATTGCGATATTTCTTCTACTCTAGTGGAGAGAAGGTAAGTTAGAATCCAGTGGCTACTTAGCTGTATTATAGTAAATACTATACTCTTTTCATTCTTTAGGGATATTAAAAACAGTTGGAAAAATAAGAAAACAATAGTAAATGTGCATACCATGTACTTGGGTGTTACTTAGCTGAAGAGCAGCAGATTTGTAAGGCAGACCATGTTAGAGCTGATCTTACCTTCTGACTATGAAGGTGTAGGCCATAAGCACTTTCTTTGGCTATTATGCAGTGATCAGTCTTGATTCCAGCAGCCTTCTGTTTGGATCAAGATGAATCATTGCATGCTAGGAGCTGTGGTTTCTATAGGCTTCTCCTCTTCATTAAATATATGAGCGCCACCAGATTCTTTTTAGAACCTCATGTGTTTACTCTTGGTCACCCTTTGTGTTATACAGGGGTCAAGTAAGACTACTGGAGTATCTTCAGTTATGAAATCCATAAGCTTACCAAAAGCTGTAGCTAATGATGTAATAAATGTAATGATGTAAAATAACTGGAAAATGTAGAAAACTTTAACCAACCAACCAAAAACTTCTTATTTAGAATTGGTATCAGAAAGTGACATCAGAAGGGTGTGCAAGAAGTAGGCCTTGAGTTTCCCTCCCTTGCCCCTTTTCGGTGTCTCTGCTGTTCCAAGATGGTGGGGCAGGAGATTGCAGGGAGTCTAACCTGGATTTTCTTACTTTTCCCATTGACTGGAGAAGTATTTGCCTTGTGGACATAATGGATACATAAGGCTCATGTGGGAGAGGTTGTAGTCAGGGGAAAGTTTAATCTGGCTCTCTTCTTCCTTGCCATGGGCTACTCGGGTAGTTCCCTGGAATTTTGAGTCATGCAGATACTATGTTCATGTTTGATTAGAACTTAGGTGGCATGTTGTCAAAATATTCCTTAGTAATGGAAGTAAGAGAAGGGAAGTGGTGGCATAACCGTTTATAGCTTAGACAAGTTAAATACAATTTCATGGCCCAAGCAAAAGGTACATGTCTAGCTTGAAGGCTTCCTCCCTTCAAAATTTCAAAGGCCTCTTGCAAACAGTGGAGGGGGGTTAAAGGTCTCAGGAAAAAAGCCAAGGGCTTTTGCAGGAAAAAATCATAGGCAACATAAATACAGGAGTTGCTATCAGATTTTTCTATATAGAGTGCAGTTTATAAACAATAAGAACACTGGCAATGTTAGTTTAAGTAGAATATATATTTTTCACTTCATTACAGTGTTTCTATAAGACAAATGATTCAAAATGCTGCGATGAGCAATTTAAAAAATTGTCTTACACCACTGAAATTTTCAAGAAAAGAAGCATGAATTAGTATAGTACTTCATGGTGCCTGAGAGTTAGAGGCTTGTTCTCTTCCATATACTAGTCAGTTATCTCTGGTGGATCTACAGGTGGGTAATGAGGCCAGAATACACAGATCTTGTCATAATTGAGGCAGACATCTCGCACTGGGACAGGGTGGATCTGAATTAAGTTGGGCTCCAGTGTGCTCTTCCTTTCCCATTTCTCTGTTTCCTGTTTCTGTTGAGTCTTGAAATACTGTGTTCCTTGTCGTAAAGTCCTTTTCCATTTTGGTCATTGAGGACTTGTGTTTCCCATGAGTCTGTCTATATTGCACTTCCTGTTGGATTTCAAGCACTTTTTTTTTTTTTTTTTTTTTTGCCTGCCCCATATCCATTGGCCATGATTCAGTTGTGAATACATGACCTGCTTCGATTTTTCTTGCATTCAAAGAATATGAACATCCGGGTGGTATTGTTGGTGGAAGATAATAGCTCCAGTGCTGGAGATTTGGCTTGGAACAGAACACTGATGTGGGTGCCTGGGTCTTTTCACTTGATCCAGAAGATCATGCAAAGACACCATGGATGGTATCATTCAGGAATCTTGAAGTATCTACTCTACATGACCCAGGTTTCAGCACCATACAAGAGAGCAGGGATAACTGGCCTGGTACAAGAGAAGCTTTGTTTGATTCTTGATGTGATGATTTTTCTAAGACATGTTTTCTCGAATGTCCCAAAGCTACATTGGAATATTTGAAGGTGGTGTTGAATTTTCTCATCAATGTCAGATTTGTGTGACAGGTAGTTGCCAAGATAAAGGAAGTGCTCGATGTTCTCCTGGGCTTCTTTATTGATCCGAATTATGAGAGCAGGATCCTTGGTCATTTGGAGCCTATTGGTGCAATACTTTAGTTTGCTTGGTGTTGACTCGGAGACAGAGTTTGTTATAGGCCTTAGAAAAAATGTCGGCTATCTTTTACAGATCATCCGAGTGAGCGCAGAGGGCAAAGCTGTTTGCATATAGAAGTTCAGTGACTGATTTAGTCATAGTCTTGGATCCGAGGTGACTGAGGTTGAAGAGATTGCTGTCCATTCCATATTGCTTGTCAGTTCTGGAGAGGAGCTTGTCACTGAAGAGAAGGATGACCGCAAGGAAGATGGAGAAAAGGACTGTAGTTGTCTCAGCCTTGCTTAACTCCTTTCTTGACTAGGAAGGGGTCTGTTTCAGATCCACTGCCAACGGTCACAGAAATGTTGACATGGAGTCAGAGGACAGCAGCAAATTTTGGTAGGCATCCAGATTTATGGAGAATTCCTCACAGAGGGCCTCATATTTGGTCTATTGTTTTTGTGAGGTTGTTGACAGCCAAGTATGGTGGTCATGGTTGCTGGCAGCACTTTTCCTGAAGTTGATAGACCGTGAAAACCATCTTGGTGATGCATAAAATAGTATTCTTAATGTATAAGTATATGTAGCAAAGAACAGCTAATTTCATTGTTCTTTGTCTGCTTGAGACTAATTGATCTGTTAAGAAGCTTCAGAGGAGTAGCCAACTTAGTCTGTAACTGGAAAAACTCAAAAAACAAAGAATAGTCTAGCAGCACCTTAAAGATTAACAAAAGTTGTAGATGGTATCATGAGCTTTTGTGCGCAAAACCCACTTCAGATGAAAGGAGTATTAAAAGTCCAGTTCCAAAATAAATAGGGGATAGCGGGGGAAGAAGAAAGGGGGAAAAATAGTGAATTAGCGTGTTCATATCGCATGACGCTGATGGAGAAGGTTCAAATTGTTCTTAAGTACCCATTGTTTGGTTGTTTAAGTCACTAGGATGTGGAAGGTAGTGTGCTAGCCATGTAATGTTTTTATTCATACCTTTGTGATGGGTCCTAAACTTGTAAATGAAGTTAAGTTCCAACACTTCCCTGTGTATTTGGCTTGTGGAATTGGCCTAAAACAACATGGTGACTTGGACATCCATTAATGAGTGCCTGGGTAGGTTAAAGTGTTCTCCAACAGGTTTCTGTGTTGTCTTTTCGAATATCTGATTTGTGTCCATTCTTTCCCATAGACACAGTCCAGTTTGGCCAGTATACACTGCAGAGGGGCATTGCTGGCATTTGGCATAGATCACATTTGTGGAAGTGCAGTTAAATGAGCCCTTGATGTGGTGGCTGATGTGGTTGGGTCCAGTGATGAAATCACTTGTGTAGGTATGTGGGCAGAGTTGGCACCAGGGATGATTGCGGGGGAGGGTTCCTGGATAATTATGATGGAGGTGTGCTGCATGGTTACTGGAAAGAATCTGTTTGAGGTTAGGGGGTTGTCTGTAGGCAAGGATTGGCCTTTCCCCCCAGGCCTGTGAGAGTGAGGGGTCATTTTCCAGGATAGGTTGTAGATTGATGATGATGTATTGGAGGGGTTTAAGTTGCGGGCTGTAAGTGATGACAAGTGGACTTGTCCTGTTAAGAAATGGGCTAAATCCCAGTTTCAGTGTTGGAGATTGAAGGGGGGTGCTCATTGGTTAACCAATATGGTTACATGCAGCTTCCCCTTTGCTGCCTATGTAACAGGCGGGGAGCTGCCACTTCTCCTATGCTCAACTGTCTCTGTATCAGAGGCAGCAGAACATGGAGGGAGGTTGATACATGGGCAGCAGTGTAGGGAGGCAGGCGTGAGCCGCTGCGTGCTGCAAGACAGAGCCACCTCCCCCCGCCCGCTTATGTTGCTGCCTTTGGCATACCACCCGCCTCCCTGTATTGCCTCTCGCATGGAGCCTCCTGATAGAGGCAGCAGCGTGGGGGCAGGGCACAGGGAGCTAGCTTAAAAGCCTGCTTCCCTTGCACACCAGCTCTTATTGAGACGCTTCTTTTCCTCCTCCCTGCATGTAAACATGTACCCGCTGAAAATTTCAATAAAATAAATGACTTTTAGCATCCCTAGTGCACAGGGCAGCTTAAATATAACTTCTCCTCTTTGGTACAGGGCTTGTTGCATCCACTTTGCCAGTCCTGTGCAAAACGACCCTTGGAAAGTTGGTATAAAGGATAATGAATATTTCCATATCTGGTTACTGACCTTTATTTCAAATTTACACCAGTTTTGAAGTTGAGAGCCACATTTCATAAGTGCTCAGCTCTTGGCACCTCATTGTTCTTAGTGGTGCTGCGAGCTGCTGAGCTGTTGTTTAAAAAGAGAAAATAGCACCAGATGTGAGTGCTGAACACTTCTGAAAATATGGCCTTGAGAGGAAATGCCTAATCACAGGAGCTGATAGTTGTACAGGAATCTTCCTCTAGTGTAAGCTTAAAGTAGTTGACTACCGTGTAATTTGATGGATTGCCATCTAAGAAGCAAATCTGAGAGGCCAGGATGACACAGGGAATCATAAAATGAGTAGTCCTGTGGCACCTTGGAGACTGACACATATATAGTATCATGAGCTCTCATGGGCGGGCAAAAGCCACTTCAGATGAGCTTGAGTGGAGGGAAAAAAGGGGCACTCTCAGAATTATAACAGGAAAAGAAGGGAGAGGAAAAAATTACTCGTCAGTTGTAGTGCTAGTTCTGATGAGGCTAATTGAGTAGCTTTTGATGTCAGTGAAGTGTTAAATGTAAGAAAAGCAAGTTTTATAATGGGCCATCCAGTTCATGTCTTTGTGCAAGCCAAGGGGAAACAGTGTCAAATGTACATATAAAGGTCAAT